AGCTCAGGCTCTCATTACCAGAATGAGACTTCTCATTCGAGGGAAGCAGCCTTGTTTTCTGCTAACCCAGGAAGAGTGACCACTTTCCAGGAAGAAGATGAGCTTTCCTCTGCAAAAGAGCTTCCTCTTTGAGAAAGCAGTGACAAAATTTCATCATCTTCTTGCCCAGTGAATTTTCATTGTAGCAACTTCTCAGAAGTGGCCTCCTCGGGAAGAATTTGCGTTTTGCAAAGGCAGAGGGAGCGTACTTCCTGTCAGCTGACATGCTGCGTGCAGGATTTGGAAGGAACCAGCTCCTCTGAGCTGAACTCTAAGATGCTGATGGCAGAGAAGGAGCCTGGGGATTCTTGGCTGCTGGATAAACATCCTAAGTCTGGGTACCCTTCCTTCTGTAGATCACCACTGGCTTTATGCCTTAATCCTGGAAGGGTCTTTTTTTTTATAGGGCACAGGGGCTCCCGGAGGCAGACAAAATAGAAGGTGCCCTGAGAACAGGAGCTGTTTCCACGGTAGTCCAGTGTTTGCTGTTGCCTGCCATAAACATCTGACAAATGTCTGTTCATTTGCATTTTCAAATGTAATTAGTCTACTAAATAGATAAATGATCACTTGAAACTCAACATGGCTATGGTGAATGATAAGCCTTGGTGACAATAAGGAGGCTTGGTGGAATGTTTTTAGAGATGTATTGAGTGAGTAGATGCTCATAGAGTGGCTATGACTTGGGTCATCCTGGGACGTGGACAGCAGGCATTGGGGCCTTGGCTGTGGAGTGAACCAAGTCTCTGCCCTCAAGAGGCCATTGCTCAATGGCCTCTTTTTCTGTGGGGGGGAAGGAACAAATAAACCCAGAACTATAGTTGCTGTTAATAAATAAAGCAGGTGAAGAGAATGAGAAAAGGAGAGGACGTTCTGAAAGTGGGGAATTCCAGACCTACAGGGAACACCCTGTGCTCAAGGCATGGGGGTGGCCTGGCTTGGGTAACCATCCTTGGAGCAGAGGATGCTTCCAGAGCATGGCGGGGAGAAGAATGGAGAGGTCAGTTTGGGGAGTCTTTTCCTCCAGGCTGTGTTTCCACTCTACTCTGTGATCACAAGAGCCCTTTGAGAGAAGTGTTGAGAGTACAGGGGTAAGCCAGATGAAATGGTCATCCAAGGAAGCGATAAACTAGACCTGTGATTTTGGAATCCTAAATCTGGCAGTTGAACGTTAGCTGGATTAGAGAAAGGAGAATGCTTGAGAAAGGGAGGTTAGTGAGAGTATGATGGCAGCAGTTGGATAAGAGGTTCCTATCATGCCATGAAGGGTTATTGCTAAGGAAATTCCAGAGTAACATGGCGCATCCATCACTATGGAATATTTTGCAACTGGTAGAAAGTAAATAGTATATTCATACCTACAGACTTGGAAATATGCCCAATGCATACATAGTTCAGGAATAAAAGCAGATTGTAGAGTAGTGCATATAAAAGCGTTCTATTTATCCAATCACTAAAATTTCTCTTGTGTGCACACACGAGTGCAAGCATGTGTGTGTGTGTGTGTGTGTGTGTGAGTGAGTCTGTGAGCTTGCTATCCATCAGGACCATCTGAGGTGTGCTTCAGGACCCAAGGGCTTAGCACCATAAAGGATTATGGGTCATCACATGACCACAGGTCCATATGGGTCATCCAAGGGACTCTGCTCTTCACTTGAGACCAAGGCTCAGAGAAGCGCCAATGTCATATTTCCATGACTACCAGAGAAGGAAGAGGACTTGGCAAATTGTGCACCAGCTTTGAAAGTTTCCACCCAGAAAGGAAACATACCACTTCTGCTCACACTTCATTCATCAAAAAAAGTTGCATGGCCTGACTTAACTGAAAAAACCCCAAAATAATAATAATAATAATAATAATAATAATAATAAGAAGAAGAAGAAGAAGAAGAAGAAGAAGAAGAAGAAGAAGAAGAAGAAGAAGAAGAAATTGTACCATGTGTCTAGAGGAGTAAAGCCAGAAATATTGGATAAAGAGGCCTCATGAGGACCAGAATCATGGAGAGTGGAGTGGAATGGGCAAAAACAGGGAAGGACACACACTTTGGCATCCATGTTGGGGGATGGAGAGAAGGAGTGAGAGAAAGTGTGGAAGCATAGTTCTTAACGAATGGAAAGGTAATAAGCCAGCCTGGTGGAAGTAAGGATGGAGAGACAGGCAGACAGAGACGGCACACTGCACTCCTAAAGTAAGAAGACGTTGCTTTTGAGTGTGGGTGTGAAGGAGAATCGTCACAGGTGATTTCCCAGAGGTTTGCACCTAGTTTGTTTGGGGACAGAGACATCATGGGCAGCATCGAATTGCCCTGGAAGAGGAAGAGATTTAAGAACATAAAGGAGAAAGAAGCTCTTGGATTGAAACTTGTGGAACCCAAGCGACTGCATTCAACTTTTTAGCACTTTTTACCCACATGTCCTTCAGATGTACCAAATCCATTTTGGTTTTACATATGGCTCTATTTGAGGTTGCTTTGGCAGGGCTAAAAAAAAAATTTAAAACATAGAACCTTCTGGAATTAATAAGTGAAGAACGTTCCCCTGTGGGACTTGCAACTAACTGCACTTGCTTTTCTTCCTCCCGTCCAGGCTGTGGAACGCTGCCCGGGCACCACCAGCTGAGCTCCCAAAATGCTGCTACTAAAATCCAAAACTTAATTTACTGTGACTTGCTTAATTGACCTTTAAAAAATTCATTTTTTCATCTAAAAAGGAAGACTTAACAGGAGCAACGGTATTCAGAAAAGCCAACCTCTGTTCTCCATTTGGTTACCGTAGATAAACCTTCCGTGAGCTTCCATTTCAAAGTTCAAACTGTTCGCAGAAGTGTATCTTAATTGAAATGTTAGAGTTTAAAAGCTGTCCAAAATTAAGCTGTCCGAAAGTTATGATAATTTCAAAGAAGTGTAAAAGGTTTTTACATTACAAGGAAAATACTGTGAAAGAGAGGTTTTCTTTTGTAATTGATGGTGATTCCTGCGACCTGAAAATATTCATTTGGTACCTCTTGTAGGATATAAGGGTTTTGCATAAATGCGGTGTGTAGAAATAACAATATCTTTACTTGAAAACATTTCCTATAAACTTGCTGGATATTAGAGATTCTGAAGAAAATTTAATTTCCCAATAAGCCATGACTACACAACAGTTGTTTTTCTCATCCTTAAGAGAAACTTTTCTGTAGCTTAGTGGTTCTTACCCAGAGGTGATATGCCCCCCGGAAGACATTCAACAATGTCGGGAGACATGGTCAGTTGTCACAACTTTAAAGGGGGACTTCTACTGGTGTCTGGTGAGACATCTATTGGCATATGCCACCACACATCTCATGGAACACAGAACAATGCCCTCCACCCAGGATGTCCAGGCCCAAATGCCACAGGGCTGAGGCTGAGGAACCCATCTTATCAATCTGTACAGACAACTACTTTCTGACTGTAATATGTGGCGTGGATGACCCCATGACCCTGCAGGAGGCGAGACTAGCCTAGTGTCAGCCCAGGACACCTGATGCCCCTCTCTTTAAATCCACCGGGAGCAGAGCCTTGTCCAGGTCCTTCTTGTGGACACACATCCTGGCTCCCGGCGGAGCAGCTGGTACAGTGTCTCAGGTCCTTCCCGTTGTCCAGGGACTTGGGATGCCTTAAAGGAACACAGGCTGTGCTGTGAAAGTGGGCAGCCTGTTCCCTCAGCCTCACTTTTGTGGAGTGGAGAGCTGTGTGGCAAAACTCACCCAAGGCCGCTTTCCCGATTTCCCTGCCCTGGGGCCTTTTCTCACGTGATTCGTTACCTTTTGTCCATTTGATGTTCTTCTGCCTCCGCTTCTTTTGTAATGAAAATGGCCTGTTTTATTGCCTACTAAGCCATTTTCTTTCCCATTCCAAAACTTTCTCTAAGTTGTTTCATATTGATGTTTTTGAGGTGACATTCACATGACATAAATTAGCCATTTTAGACGGAAGAATTTGGCGGCACTTAGTACATCCACAATGCTGGGCGACCCCTACCTCTATCTAGTTCCAAAATGTTTGTCGTCACCCCAAAAGGAAACTCTGTTCCTATGAAGCAGTTACTTCCCATCTCCCCCTTCCCCAGCCCCTGGAAACCACAGATCTGCTTTCTGTCTCTATACATTTACTCATTCTAGATAAGTCATGTAATAAAATCATACGCTGTGGGGTATTTTGTTCTGGTGTTGATCACGGAGCATAAAGTTTTGAGGTTGGTCTAGATTACAGCATGTATCAGCACATCGTTCCTTTTCATGGCCGAGTAGCGTTCCATTGTGTGGACCTACTGCACGCCATTTATCCATCGTGTATTGTGGGACATTCTTGCTGTTTCCATTTTATGGCTGTCACATAGTGCTGTTATGAGCATGTGTGTACCTGTACGAGCATTTGTGTGAGTACCTGTTTTCAGTTATTTAGGGCATATGCTTAGATATGGAATTGCTGGGTCATGCGGTCATTCTACATGTAACTCTTTGAGAAACTGCCCAGCCATTTTCACAACAGCTGAGCCATCTCTAAGCTGTTTTATTTTATCACGTGTCCATGCTCTTTGTGTCTATCTACTTTTACTAACTCCCCCAGACGACACCATCCGCCCGCCCTGGTTCTCACAAAACCATTTCATAGATAACTTAATGAGTACTCTAAAGCTCAGACAGCCAACCCTTAGAGTTGAGGACAAGCTTTGCATCCATACCCATGACCTGCTCATGTCACCCTACGTCTGCAACGGTTTGGATACCACAGCTGGAAATCCACACGTTTTGAACTAAAACAGTTTTTCCCCATCACAACAATTGTTCCTTTGTTCTAACCCAGTGGATTTGTTGGAACATGCTATCTTGTGTTGTCACAGTATTATCGTTCCTTAAACGGGCATGGTGCATGGTGTTCTCTGCAGCCCTTGGGATGGGACCCCCTGTGACTCTCGCTGTCCTTCTCCGTCTGCAGGTGTCCTTCTTCCTTTTCATCATCTTCGTGGTATACACCATGCTGCCCTTCAACATGCGAGACGCCATCATCGCCAGCGTGCTCACCTCCTCCTCCCACACCATCGTGCTGAGTGTCTGCCTGTCTGCGACGCCGGGGGCCAAGGAGCACCTGGTCTGGCAGGTGGGTGACTTTGCATGTCCCACTGGGGCTGCGCGAGGTGCCGCGCGCCTGCTCAGGGTAGGACTGTTTGTACCTGGCAGCTGCTCAAGTCCTGCTCTCTGACCTTGACTCTGAGTATTGCTAATGGGTGGACAGCCACACACACACCCCCCTCCACCAGTGGAATCAACAGCCACTTAGCAATTAGCAACAGCGGAAACTGGGAATGGCAGCTCCATTTTGCTGAGTGCCGAATGGTGGTGTGATTTTGATGGTTAAAAGCTGTTCTCATTATACGTTATAATTTAGCACTCTTATTTTTAGAGTGAATAAGTTATACAATTAAATTCATAATTCTCCACCTCTCTCTACCTTGATATCCAAAAACTCCTCTTTACAGAGGACAAAAGACTTCTCATTTTTAATCATCTGGCAGGTCCATGGATATTAAAATATATATATATATATATATATATATATATATATATATATATATATATATATATATATATATATATATATTTTTTTTTAAATGCTGTGACAGCAAACTGTTTTTTACTAATAAATGGTATTTGAAAGAAGCCATCCCATTTAATTAGTTAGAAGCATTTCGACAGCAGTTTGATTTTCTGTTATGTGCATCTGTAAACACGAGGGTCAGGGGTTTTGAATTATTCCTAACAGTCTCTTTTGCACGTGTAAAGAAACGTGTTTTATTTTATTCTGTTGGAACCAACTGTAAGAAATGCAGCTGTGGTGTAAAGGGCAGCAGGCTGAGGGAAGCAGCGACAAACAGCACTGTGGTTGGAAAGGGGATTGTAGACGTCGGTCGCCTGTGCCCTGTGGGGTCTGAGATACTAGTCTGTCATGTGTCTGATGGAGTGTTTTATTTGGGAACGTGAGATGCACTTGGAGGCTGACCCTCGGGTCTGTAGTAACCTCTCTTAGCTGGAAAGCTTTCTAGGGACCTCTTTTCTCTATATGCCTCTCTTCGCACATGTAACACCATTCACAGAGCAGCCTGAACGGTGTGCATCTTCGTGACACTCGGTGCCTGTGATGGCCGTGGCCCTGGCTTGGCACTGTGGGCTCGTTTCACACTGACTGGTTCGGGATTTCCTAAGAAGAATCCACTCCCAGGAAGCACAGGAAAGCCATGTTTTTCTCCCGTGTGTCCCCTGTGACAGCAGATACAAACCAGAAACATGCACACCTAGACAGCGATGGAGGGGGCCGCTCAGGAACTGATCAAATGAAAGAGGGAAGGTGGGTGTTTTAGTAAAAGAAGAGCTAATCCTGCCGTGCCGGGGAAGAGGCGGGAGACGTGTTCCTTTCCACGGGAGCTCTGCCCTAGCTTTTGTTTCCTTTCCCTGCATTTCAGAGCCTCCCCTGAGGAGATTTGTAGGACATTTCTCTGTTCTCCCATAAATTCCACTCTCCCACCCCCTCTATCATGGGGCCATTAAGCTCAGCCTGAGGGGGTCCCATGCAGGGCTGGGCAGTGGGTGTGTTTCCGCCAGTTGATATTACGAAAATCACTGCGTGAAAGTCCTCCTCAAACATGTCTCACGGCTGTCAGCACCTGCCTGCTTTGGGGGATCTTGGAACGCATCTCTTCAACCTTTTGTACCTAACTCTTGTGCACCTTCACGAATCAAAGTGTCTGCTGGGACAGATGTAATAGAAAAATATCTGGGAGATGAGGATTATAATACCTGTCTATAAGGATCAAGTGGGATTTTAAAAAAGTAAAATATAAGTGCTTTGCAAAGAACCTGGCATATTCTAGGTCATAAAGGACTATACCGAGTTTTTTCTTTCTTTCTTTTTTTTTAAGCACCTTCCTTTCCTTTCATTGGTTAAAAAAAAATTGATAGGAGGGAAGGAGAAAGAACATAACCTTTCATTTTTATTTACCCAATTTCCAAAACCAACACAGAAAACTACGTATCAGTGGACAGCCAGAGATAGGATAATTCTGGAATAGCAAAAAGAATAAAAATTCTTCATTCCATAGTACTTCTGTATAAGAATAACATTGAAAGGAACAGAAGCACATGAGGTCAGTTTTCTATCCTTTCCGAAATAATTTCACAAGGATTCCAGGAGCTGGGGAAGGCAAAATATGCCAGTGGATTTAACATGGAAGGTTCCTGGGTGAGCATCAAAGTAAAGAAGGAAAGAGCTGAACCTGTAACCTAAAAATGATACTGGTTTGTGATGCGAGAAAAACACTCTATTGAATTCTTTTAGTGAAAAGTGTATATAAGTCAAAATGCCACAGACTGGGTGGTGATATTGCTGTGATGTCATTGATTAAAGCAAAACTACTTAAAATAAGGGCTATCGGTCTGGTAGAAAGAGGCTACCCATCAGTGATGACAAATACCACAGTGCCTTCTAACCTAAACCATTAAAGGAACAGTGTGTTTTATTTAGCACGGATCCAGATTATGAATTTTTGTTTCATTCTATTTTCATTGGCAATCCATTGATAGCATGCAGTACTTATCTGTGAGCCAAAATACTGACTTAATAGGAAACCCTAGCCCCTTCCATGTTGAGTATCAGAGTTCATCGTTCTCAGGAAACTAATTTGTCCAGCATTTGTCCTGAAGCAGAATTCATTCTCAGTCAATGCTACATCACCAAATTGAGGAAATTTAGTTATTAGCTAGAAATTATGGACGATATTTCCTTATACCTTTGAACAGAAAGTATAATCCCTGATACATTTCTTACTTTTAATTTGAAACACTCACAGACCTACCAATCAGTTGTAAATCCTGTACAGAGAAATTTTTGCTCCTAAACCATCAGGTTGCCAACCCGATGCCCCATCACCCAAATGCTTTCGTGCATATTTACAGTACCATTCCCCTGCATAACCAGAGTGAAACTACCAAAATCAGGACGTTCCCATTGCTCAGTCACTGCCATTTGAGTTTCTCCATCTCTCCCATCAATATCCTTTGAGCAAAGGGCTCAGGGCGGAGTCACACATTGCCCTGTTCTTTTGTCTCTTCCAGTCTGAAACAATTCCTTCGTCCTCCTTTGGCTTTCATGATCTTAACACTTTGGATGATCACAGGCCAGTTACTTTGTAAGTGTCCTTCCATTTGGGTATCTCACGTCTCCTCCCGAAGAAGCTGAGGTTATGTATCTCTGGCAGGAACCACAGACGTCACGGTGTGCCCCATCACATCCTACCAGGGTGCATACGTCCACTTTGCCTCGTGACTTACAGTGGTCATAATGTGATGCTGCTGTCCACCAGGCACTTCCACTTTCGGATTACCCTTTTCCTCTTTCTAATCAATATATATTTGTGCCGAGGTACTTTGCAGCTCAGCAAATATGCTGTTTCATTTACTTATTTGTAGCTGCACGGGTTTGTGTTTCTCTGTTGTTTTCAGCAGGGTATAAACCATCGCTCACTGTTTACTTTGCTGTCCATATGACCTCAGAGTTGTCCAGTGGGTCCCCTTCAGGCTGGCGTCAGTGTCCCTTTGACATGTCCCCGTCCTCACTTCCTGGCACAACCAGATGTTGCAGGTCCATCTTGTGCTTTTCCTGCCCAGGCCTAGAATCACTCATCTCTCCAAGGAGCCTGGTTCGTTTCAGTGAGGCATGGCACCTGGGAGCAGGACCTGTGCCTTGTGTCTTGTCATCGGGTTGTCACCAAGGCCAGGCCCACACACATTTACATCTGCATTTGTTTATATAGATACTGATTTATAAAGCACAAGGTTTCACACTGATAGTTCTATTTTTAACTCACCTAAGGTCTCAAGCCAGTTTTCTCCCTTTCCAGGATGGCTCCCTTGAACGATAGTGAAATGAGTTAGCTCCCTTGAGCCTTAATATATTGACTTACTTGATGAATCCCTATATATAATTAGTCTCCTGCCTCATTGGCCACCGCCTCCATCCACACTGGTGTCCTCTCACTTGACCCAGCTTGTCCCCCTCCCAGACGTCCCCCTCACTCGGCTCCAGCTCTGATGCCCCATCCACATGAGGGTGTCACCCTCTCTTAGCTCCGAATCTGTCCCCTGAGCTAGACTTTCCCCCCTGTTGACACTCCTGACACCCAGCCCAGCTTTGTCACTTCGGGTGAATTTGGCTTCCCCCACCCCCTGTGGGTGCAGATGCTTCCTTGCCATGCTGATGGCTGAGCGCGGAGTTCTTTAGTAGGAGAGACAGAGGACAAGAAGGGCAGAGAGCGAGGATGGGGCAGGGAAGAGGGAGAGAGGGAACATGTTTTGAACAGAGTTTATTTGTGGAAGAGAAGAAGGTTCTCTCCAGCTACTGTCGTGATTCCCTTTGTACCGGTTTCAGCAACTTGCCTTCTAATTCTTTTCCATCTTTGTTTTGCTAACTGGGTTTCGAAGAAAAGTTTTTCTGGAATCTGGGATTATTAAGGGAAACTGGAATACCTTAATAACCAAGGGGAGAAACTAGTTAAGTATCAGCAAACTTAATGAAAAGCAGTTTTACAGTGTCTGCGCGTGAGTGTTTTATTTATCCATCTAGCATAACTTCAGCAGAGGCGAGCAGAGCCTGTAGCCATCCGTGATTACCTGGAAAACGAGAAGCCTGCTTGTATGAGCAGCCTCCCAGGCATCTGACTGCAAGGTCCATGAGAGCAGCCAAGAGTCTTTCCTGCTTAGGATGGTATCAAGGCAAAGGGAGACTGAGGCTCAGAAAACACAGTGAACCTTCCCTCCTCCTGGAGCCGCCTCCTGTCTGAGCCCTTCGGGGTGGCAGTCGTGCAGCCCCTTTGACAAGATGAGGAAACTGGTGAGGAGTCTTGCCTCCCAGACAGAGGCAGCGGGTCCACTGGTCAGTAGCTTGGTCCAGCCAGCAGCCTGAGCTTTTGTGGTATTTATTTCTTTTTAAATATACATCTAGTCTGTTCTCATTTGCTAATTTTCTGTAGATCTGCATTGCTGTCAGCAGGAAACTGAACCATCCTCAAGGAATTTTCAGATAGCCTTGTTTATATGTCACAGTTGCAT